TTAGGAGCCTGGAGATTATTAATGAACCTGTAAAATTAACAATATATCAACCAGCCAAGTACACTTTCAATATCAATTGGCCACAAGAACAACAATGCAGCAAGTTTTGGTTTTAATAATAGTACCACATTTTGGGGACAAGCTTAATAAAAATGTGGCCAAGCCAAGATAAGTTGCTTGTACCGCGCGTCCTGGTAGTACATATGCCAAGGCCTGTAGGGGTGGCGCTGTAGTCTGACACAAAAGCAGCGAAGAAGACTTCTCAGATTTCCAGCCTTCATGCAAAAACAGGGCTAAAAAAGACAAAAGAGCACAAATGGATGGCATGCTAAAATGCATGATCTGTTTGGTATTTTGAAAAATAAAACTTTGCAGACATGTTTTAATATAGGTACGTCCTTACAATATATTATTTCAAATATAGATGATAATGACAGGTCACTTTAACCATATATCGAGCCCGATTCTCGATTTCAAATGTGTGCTCTAAAATGATATTTATAAATGACTATTATCATTATTATAAGCAAGACAATAAATGGCAAAGATATGTAGAAAATAAACGTATTTAAGATACGTTCATAAGAAACGTAACGTGGGAGAAAATATGTTTCTAGCTAAACGTAATTGAGAATGCAGTTTAGTTCTGTGGGAATGTAATTTTTAGGAGACAGGGTTGTCATGTGAGTGATTCACTTTACCATAGTTGTGCCCTGCTTCTCTCTGAAAATGACTGAATTGTTCATTGTTCTGAAGGTTTTTACAAGGAGTTTTATAATCTACAGGGTACAAGTCTTTCCCTCTCAAAAACACACGGTTAAACCGTTAAGAAACTCTGAATCAGGCTAGTCTCATGTTAAAAATGTGTTTTCTCCAGGTGTTGAGATAAATATTTTTTAAATCCTCTGGAGCAGAGGGAGGAGGTGTGGATTATTGTTATTGATTAATGCATCAGTGTTTCTTAGGGTCATTAACACCAAACTCACAACTTAAAATGAAAGTGTTTAGTTTATTTAATAAAAGAGCACATGTTCAATGTGAAAAGTGACAGTAGATAGTTTAGTTGCAATTTGGTGCTATATATATATATATAAAAGAACATTAAACACCTTTACTTTCAGGGTAACACTGTGTTACTGCCTTATTATTTGCAATTTTGGTGACAAAAGGCAGCTTGGATACAGAATACAATACATATAACAAAGACATTTACCACCAATTTGCAGACAATGTTTTGTCTTTGATGGTAAATCTCTGTCTCATGCTGCAGAGGCTTGTAGAGCAACAAAGGAGCATGTTCTACATCTCACTTCCCGGACAACTTGTCCTGATCGATGCAGATGTAATATGTTACTATGGCAGAAACTCTATCCTGCTGACGGGAAGATCAATACAGCCCACGAGACGAGCCAACGGGCTGCAGCCACCAGCACTAACACACACGTCTCTAAGGCTCAGCTATGCATCGTTATTTCATTACACCATCATGCTATTCTAATACAATGAGAAGAACAATTTGGAGATAAATATGGTAATTCAGGACTAGTTAACTTCTTGAAATGTTCAAGTGCCTTCATATATTAAAATGGATTTGTACATTTTGAAATAAAACTGGTTTTGAACTCAATAGCCTGAAACTTAACCTACATATTGATCACATGCTGCATGAATGTATGTTTTTAAATATCTTCGGTCCTCTGCTTGTTAAAAGAAACATTTACAATTATTATTGAACACCAAACCTAAATGAAATAGCTCTTTTTAATCTATGCTTGCCTCTGACCTTCTCAACGTCCCTCTTTAACTTCAATATATACCCCCCGCCTCTCTGAATGTATCCTTAACAAGAAGTGCTAAGCCCCCCCGAGCTAACCTCGCACTCAAACGCTCTTCTCTTTATCTCACCCATGAAATACAATTCTTGCGGAACTTTTGAAGCGTGACCATGCTTTGTGAGGGTGTGAAACGCACTTTTCCAAGGATGGATTTCACAGGATTTCCCATCTGTTACGCTTATACAATGGCAAATTGTCCCTTAGGTATTGTTGTCTTTGTAAATAGAGCCTAAGGGTTTCTATCTAGCATTTCTATACACATACATTAAACGGCATGCAGTATATGACTGAACAATGAGAACATATACAGCAAATGTTTTCTTGTTCATTGGCTGAAAACCGAAAGTCTGATTGGCTAATAAAACAGTCAATGAATTATTCACATTAAGATATGTGATGCGCATAAGTAATATGGCAGACAAGAGCTGAAATATTTGGAATAATTGCTTATTTGGTATCGATCAATAACATTCACATCCCATTTTGTATGTTAAATATGAACCTGGAAACAATAGAGGTTAGCTTAGCTTAGTTTAGAATTAGGACTGGAAACAAGGTACAGCAACTATCTTGGCTTGGCCACATTTTTATAAGCTTGTCCCAAAATGTGTAACTATTACATTAAAACAAATTGTGCATTTGTTGTCTTGTGGCCAATTGATATTGAAAGTGATACTTGGCTGGTTGATATATTGTTAATTTACAGGGTTCATTAATAATCTCCAAGGCTCCTAACATGTTTATCCAAAATCTTTCATTGTGGCAGTAAAAGACCCTAAACCTTTGATTATAATGGGCGGTGTATTACGTGTGCACAGTAGGAGTGTTGAGGCACAGCCGTGCAGTTTAGTGCTGTCGGCAGGAAGAGTGTTTAAACCTGCTGTCCAGCTGGGCTGGATGTGTGGAGTGTGCATGTTGTCTACATGTGCCTGCTTGGGTTTTCTCCCTTTTGAGAGTCAGACATTCAAAATCCATCTGACTTAAAACCAGCACATGGTTAAGCAATAGAAAAACATTCACTGCCACGTAACGATGACAGCAGGACTGGCAGAAACAAAAAGGAAAACTCCTCCACACAGCCCACTTCCTGTAAGCCATGACAACTCCACTACTTCCTGTTTCATGACCTGTGTGTCTGACAGTGAATGTTGAACCCTAACGCTTATGCTAGGCTAAGCTTCTTGGCTGCTGGCTCCAGCTTCATTTTCACCGTACCGATCATCTCATCTAACTCTCAAGACTTGACATAAGCACTCCTTTAAACCAAACCCAACCAAAACCACACACATCATCTGAGATCATACTGACTCTTTATTAACACTCAGTTGCTCTTAACCTCTTGTGCTTTCTCAACTGACAACAATTCGGGCAAACAAGCTGCACCTTCATGATACAGAAAGGTTTTTGGATAGAATTGACTTGTACTTAATTGTTACCTTTAAAACTCAGGTAACTATTGTTTATATGATACTAAGAAAACACACATCCATCCCCCATGTGTGTATCCCAACAATAACACATTTATTTTTGTAGCCTCTATTGTACAAGAGAACATGGCAGTGACGCTCAATCACTGGCCTGTTGACCCCAGTAAAGGGGGTTAACAATAATTGTGAGTTTTAAGAGAAACAGTTGTAACATCATGAGCACTAATGAACAGCTCCCCTCCTCCCTTCGTTACCGTCTCCTCATGTAAAGAATCAGCAGAGTCGAAGCAGCTGAAGGTTAATCACTGGGATGGCTTTTTACACACAAAGCTGCACGGAGTAATTGGCAACCCTTTCATCCCCCCTCCTCATTAAAGACCCTGGGTTCATCTTTAATTGTGTTGACCTCACCATGACCTCTGCTCCACTCACTCCAACAGTGAATCAATGAGGCATCAAGCTGATACTACCCAGCATGCACCACTAGGTAACCCCATAATCTTCTGCTACCTACCATCATAATAAAGCAAACACTGTCACCAATTTGAGTAAAAAGTAGGGCTGCCCATAATCAGAAATCATATTATTTAACATGATTACTAATTGAGTTTGAAAACACAAGTCTATGTATTTAGGAAGAACATCTGTTGGCTGCATTTTAAACTGAAATACATCAATCTGCACTTGATAGATAATTAACACTACATATATGAACAACTTTGTGCTCTTCTAAACTATTTAATGATAAACACATTGTTTTTATAGATATCAAGGATGGTGAAATGAGAAAAAAGTAACACCAACCAGGCATGGCTAACGAGACGGGTCCCATGTTTTAAGAGGGGTTGGGACTGCTGCTGACAACGCCAAACTTAGCACACCTTGTCCCGGTTGACAGATGTTTTGGTAGTTCTTCCCTAACCAGGAGCAATTTGGGGTGAAGTGTCTTGCCCAGAGACA